TCTCCACTGGGGTTGATGGGGCCTAGCAGACGCTTGTAACTTCCTTCCTGTTCTCATCCTTTAGATGTGGAATCTGTGAGCTAAGCAAGCTAACTCCAGAATAGAAGATGTGGTACAATAAGCGAAGTCTTAAGGGTTCCCCTAAACCTCAACATTTTCAACATAAATTTCTTATTAATCAGTGGATAGAGCTGTTCATTAAAAAAGGTTCTAGCTTGGAGCCGAACCGGTGGCGTAGTGGTTAAGTTTGTGCACTCTGCTTCGGCGGCCTGGGGTTCGCACGTTTGGATCCCGTGTGTGGACCTACCCACTGCTTATCAAGCCAGGCTGTGGCAGGCATCCCACATATAAAGTAGAGGAAGATGGGCACAGATGTTGGCTCAGGGTCAATCTTCCTCAGCAAAAAGAGGAGGAATGGCAACAGACGTTACCTCAGGGCCAATCTTCCTCACCAAAAAAAAAAAAAAAAAGGTTCTAGTTTATTTCACATTTTTTATAGTGATTCAGTTTTCTTCCCATTAAGTTTTTTACATTAAACACTTGTGATAATAGGCACCTGGATTCATTTATTAGATTTGTATAAAGTGTAGATGTCAGTCAACTAAATAACAGAAAAAGCAGGTCTGTTTTATAATTTAGACTCAGAACAACTCTAAAGCTAGTCAAGATGACAGTTGACAAGCACAATTAATCCTGATCTATAGAAACAACTTGAAGGTATAACTTTTTAACTTGTTCTTGGCAGGGCAAGAAGCAAAGTAAATCTGTATTTTTCTAGAAGAATCTTTTCACTTATAACAAAAAAGAGTGAGATTTATTTATTATCAGAATTGATAATTGAAGAGTAAAATGGAGATTATGGACACAAGTATTCTGACAATATTTTTTATAAACTAGCCACCTTGCAGAGAATAAAACTAGGATTGATGTGGCAGAAGGAACAACATCAAAAGACCAGTAATCAAGTTGATCAGTCGCCAATGAATAGCAAAGACAGACAGTACCTGTTACACTTCCTGCAGTGATGTGACCGTGGTGCCTTGTACGCTTGGCAGACTTTACAATACTGGAGGTACATGATATCTTGAGAATTTTCCTTGGCAGCAAAATATAAACAAAAATACATCAGATATCTGACCCTAAGTAATAATAAGTCAAACCTTAGGAATAAATACTTTCCTATGGTTTGATTTTCTTTTATGGGGATGGGGAGGATGGAACCTTAACTTGTATCTGCAGCTGTTTTATTTGAGCTAAAATATTTTTAAATAATGAATTTCTGGTAACAGCAGCATCACTTTTCCAATTACCCAGAAGTCATTTTTAATTTCTCTTCTCCATGCTCCATCCAAATCCAGTGTCACTGAGTATACATACTTGGTTCTACTAAGATCCAAAATCCCAGTAGAATGGGAGGAGTTCAGAAAAAAAGGTAGCTGACAACTTGGCAGGTATTTTAGAGTGGGACTCAAACACCAGAGTTGATACTCTTTTGGAAATCAGGCCCCTCCCTTGGACCACTTTAACCACTTCCTAACTAGTTTCCTTTACTGTAGCCTCTCTAATCCAAAGCGTCTATTGTCAGAATAACATTCCTATAACACAACTCTGATTGCGTCAGAGCTGTGCTTGAAAACCTCTAATAACTCCCTATGGTCTAATTTCTCATGTATTTGAGGCCTTCCATAATCTGCCTTTGTTTCAGCCTTATCTTTACTATATAATCTCTTTTCCAGCCAAACTAGGCTGTCCATTGTTTCTGAATCCGTGCTACCACCATTCTCTCAACCTGAAATGCCCTCTTCCCCATCTCCTGTGGATAATTTCCGCTCCTCCCTCAGGTCTCCAGCTGAAAACGATCAGTTCTTCTAAATTCAACAGCATCCATCACATTCTACTCGATAGTTATCTGCACAAGTGCCTTGGTTTGTCTTCCCACTTATAAGGTTTTTCAGAACATGAACTGCATTTTACCCACCTCTGTACCCACTTCAAATAGCACACTAGTGTTCCTCCAACTGTAATGTACCTAACAATCACCTGGGGATTTTTTTAAACACAGATTCTGATTCAGTAGTTCTGGAGTGGAGCCCAAGATTCTGCATTTCTAACAAACTACCAGGTGATATCCCTCAGCAAAGGATATGAAAATTCATATGCATAAACTTTCTAACAATTTTTAAAAAGCCATAAATTGATTGATACTATCAATCGAGTGATAGCATACTTCCCAATATTATGATTTCACCACAATGATTTAAAAACTTTATGACTTAAACCAGCAGTTTCTAAAGTGTTTTTCTCAGTTTTGAGGGATGCTAATGTATTACATGAAAAAAGATCCTGGAGTTAAACCACACTGTGAAATTATGAAAAGTGTATGATATGCAGTGTTTCCTAGAAACTTAAGAACATGGACTCACCACCCTCCCTCCTTTTGTTTTTTTTTTTTTTTTTTGAGGAGGACCGGCCCTGAGCTAACATCCAATGCCAATCCTCCTCTTTTTTTTTTTTTTTTGCTAAGGAAGACTGGCCCTGGGCTAACATCCATGCCCATCTTCCTCTACTTTATATGGGATGCCGCCACAGCATGGCTTAAAAAGCGGTGTGTCGGTGCGCGCCCAGGATTCGAACCGGTGAACCCCGGGCCACCGCAGCAGAGCGCGCACACTTAACTGCTTGCACCACCAGGCTGGCTCCCTCCTTTTTTTTTTTTTTTTTAAATGCAGAAGTATTCAATGAAATTACTTGGGGAAACCCTAATTTAGATCAATATCTTCGAACTGGTATGAAATAAATTCTTTGAGCTTTAAATAGTGTGATTAGAATAATATGCTTAGTCTCTACCAAGGCAAAGAGCAGGCTGTGTTTGATACTATTGGTTAGCAGATAAGGCAAAAACTAAATATATGATTATCATTAGAGTTCATCACATTAAGGAATCTTTTTCTTACCGGTTTCCACCCCAGAGGGACAAAGCCAGGGCCAACAAACATGGCATTGAAGTAATTATAAAGAATCATGACAGTCCAATTTATCAACATGATGAAATTCACACTTCCTCCAGTTGTATGTAAGGGCCAATACCACAACACAGAGTCAATCATGGCCATCGTAGAACATATTGCTATAACACTAAGGGCTATGATGGGTCCCCAGTGACACAGTCTCTTTAATTCTTGGAGATTTTCAAACTTCACAACTGAGCAGAATGTACCCATTTTGGTGAGGAAGAACGCCTTCCTATTTTTAAAGAATTATAGATTTCCTTTTTCTGTGCACACATTTCCATGTGCCACAAGTCCATGTGTGTTCTTTAACTGTCATGCCTTCAAGTTGTGAAACGGCAATGCAGATTATGCCATTTGTACTGTTACACACTCAGAGCTCTTTATCTTAAAGAGGAGAATCCAGTATCTTGGTTTGAAACCCAATCTAAAGAAAACAAAATAAGAAAGTTTAGTAAAACCTTTTATTATATACTATATTTATCAACTCCAATAATCACCTACACTAAAGCATCTTACAAATGCACTACTACGGGATGAGTATCTTAAATGTCAAAAAGAATGTTTTTCAGGCTGGCCCAGTGGCCCAGCGGTTATGTGTGAGCGCTCCCCTGCTGCAGCCGGGTTCGGATCCCAGGCAAGCACTGACCCACGGATGGTCAAGCCATGCTGTGGCGGGGTCCCATATAAAGTGGAGGAAGATGGGCACAGATGTTAGCCCAGGGCCAGTCTTCCTCAGCAAAAAGAAGAGGCTTGGCAACAGATATTAGCTCAGGGCTAATCTTCCTCATAAGAAAAAAAGAACGTTTTCATCTTATCCAAAATAGGGTTCAAGTCTGAATGGCATGTAAACTGGATACATGATTCTAAAATATACTTTTTATTCCTTTGTTCCCAACTTGTCAGAGGACTGTGACTACCCAACGTTTAATGAATGGTTTGAGGAGACAAAGTTTTAGAGCTGGGAAGGAGGCCTCAGAGTTCATCTAATCCAGCTTCCTTCTTCATGGAAAAGAAATTGGCCGGGAGGAGTTAAGTGATTAGACCAAGGTCACCAGCAACAGCAGACCTCAGAATAGAAACCAAGTCATCGAGCTCCCTTTACAGAGCTCTAAACTGCCTCTTACCTATCTCGAATTAAGTCAAGTACGATCCAGACATGGTCTATACCATTTGCCTGCGCTTGCCTCCAAAACACCATCATAAGGGTCTATTTGGGCCAAGGGTACAGAAGCGGGAGAGTGAAAGCAAAGACAGTGCGAGGAGAGGAGGGAGGGAGAGAGGTGTGTGTGAAATCACGACTGCAGGCGTATACGAGAACGACCACGAATGAGAACATTGGAGAAAAAAAGAAGAGGAAGTGCCTCTCGGAGCGAACGCCGGCAAGACCTGTAGAAGGGTCTTCCTAACTAGACTGGGGTGAGTCAGGGAACAAGGTCTGAGGTAGAGGATAATAAAGACGTCCTAGCAACAGATGCCCACTGCCTTGTGCCTCAGTTTCCCGCTCGTGCCGTGGAGCAGAGCGCTCGGATCCTCACTCAGGAGAACATGTGGGTGTTGGTCTCAACATCTGGAGAGTCTGGCCTCACTCGGGTCGGCCGAAGACCGCCAAAATCATGGTCACATCCCCCGCCTCGACTCCCACCTCAGACTGGTCATTGGTGCCCGCGCCTCTGCCACCGCATTTCCGGCGGCCTGGGCTCACCCAGAACAGGTTTTCTCTTCCTCGGATAACTCCGTCATGGGTACCCCAGCCCAGCGCAAGCAGAGAGCAAATCCTCGTTGCGAGAGGCTGGAGCGCGGGGCCGCCCACGACCCGTCGGTCTCCGCCAGCGCCCTCGCCGCTGCCCTCCCGCGCAGGCCCGGTGCGCAATCTCCGTGACAGCCACTTCCGGGAAGTTCTCCACATCAAACGTCCCGCGGGAAGCAAGCTCCTGTGACTTGTATCTTGAGGAGCCGGAGCCGCTTTCCAGAACTTAGAGGAGCAAAAAATTGCTTCCAGTGATCCCTGAGAACACGCATATTTTCGGAGGCTTTTTGGGGCCCTAATCGAAGTGCTTTTTCTTAACGAATTTCTTAATCGTGAAGCCTGAGCGGAAATTAAAAAGCGCACGGCAGCCCGATTTCCAGAGGACCGAGATTGTGACGAACAACCAGGAAGCGGCCGGGCCGGGAGCTGTCGCCGGTTCTGCGTTCTGCTCTCGAGGGTGCCCCCCGGGGACCCTCCACGGTGTTCTCCTGTCCCGCCTGGCCCCTGCCACGACCTAGGCTCCGGCCCGGGCCGATCACTCTGGAGCCACCATGTCGTCTGACTTCGAAGGCTACGAGCAGGACTTCGCGGTGCTCACTGCCGAGATCACCGGCAAGATTGCGAGGGTCCCCCGACTCCCTCCTGGTGAGCCCTGCCCCGGCCGGGGGTGTCGGGGTGGCCCGGAGAGAGCGGAGGCTCGGGGGCGGTGGAACGCCGCTTGAACAAGTGTCTCTGAGGCGCGAGGCTGGAGTGGAGCCCGGGGGCGGTGCTGGAGCCCTTCCGGAGGGATGGAGCTTACTTAGTTGAGGCCAAAGGGAGAGTCCAAGCTGGGTTGTGGGGTGCAGTGAGTGAAAAGAGCCTTCGGAATCTGAGCCATCTGGGCTCGAATCCGGACTCCAGCGCCTTGTTACCTGTATAACCTTGGGAACGTTTCTCTACGTCTCAGTTTTCGTTTGTAAAATATACAGATGTGAGTATTCAAAGAGAATGAATGGGTCTGCAGTATACAGCAATGTTGTTTTATTAGTAATAATATTATTTTATGCGGCAAAATAGGGTTAAGAGCGACGGTGTCTGGATTCAAATCCCAGCTCTGCCACTTAGGAGTTATGGCGCTTAGGCAAGTTTCTTAACCTCTTTCAACTTTCCTTCTTGGTAAAATGGGGAGAATTGTACGTCTCTCATAGGGTTGTTGTGAAGATTAAATGATTTAACACATGGAAAACCCTTTCTTGGTGTTAGCTGCTATTATCATTAGTATTTTTCATACCCTCAACCCCATTTATTATTTCTCATCCTTCTTGGCAATCTGTAGGCCAATTTTATGTAAAACTTGGTACAGTTTTTCTCACTTTTAAAATTCCACAACTGCCATCTAGAAGTGCTTTTATTTTTGTATTTTAGCACGGCTTACGTCCCATGCTAGACTGCCAACTATGTGAAGGTAGGATTGACTTACTCTTGGCATTTACTTAGAGCACAGAAAAATGTTTAAGTAAATAAACAGATGAATATAAATAAGATATTTTGTGATATTTGTTTGTAAGACATCGTTTGAGGATTTATCCTTCTCTAAATACAGATTTAATTTAAGTAGTTAGTTGCAGATAAGATTGTTACTTTTTGGCTTAGTTTTGTTAGGGAAATTGGAACATCATGGGGCTGCTAGACTTGGCCCTACCTGGCTCTAGAGTGTAACATGTAGAAAAGAGGATGCTCATTGATCTGTGAACTGGTGGGCAACTTCTTTCCCACCTTGTTGGTCAGTCCTTGATGCCAGCAATAATTTCTCCTGAACTAGGTTGTCATTCCTCTTTGCCTTTCCCTACTTCCCCCAAAACTTATGTGTTTATAAATAATTTTCTTCCTTTATTTCTTTGTTTTTCTCCCCCCCCCACCTATTTTCTATTAATAGGGATATTTGCTTGAAGCCAGGATCTCTGAACTTACGCCCCACTCATCTCCTGAAGTCCCAGTTAGTTCTGGAGGAGGTGGATCTTGTCTTAAGGAGGTTTATGAGTCCAAGTGAGGGAACAAGAGGAGAGGACGAAGGTAGCATATACCACCGAGCTCTGCTGCCTCAGAGATTTTTGTGGAGAAAGTGGCTGATGGCCTCATCACTTCATGATACATCACCTCGCCTCTTCTCTTCAGTTCTGCTTCTCTCCACTGCCCAAGATCATCTTGATTTTTGTTGTCATTGTTGTTGGAGACTACTTCCTTTGACTTGAGTCCCAGAGCCTCAGAATATCAGGACTTAATGGTTTCAGTTGGATTTTTGCTCAATTTTAATTGTAATAGTGTTAACAGTGAAACATTTTTTGTTTGGGCTAATAGCTTTTGTAGTCTGAGGGTGTTTTATAAAGTAACAGAGTCATCCCTGGGTGCAAAGTTGTAAAAACTATTTCCAAGAAAACAAATTTTGTTACAATTGCTTTTTCCTTGCCTTTATATTTTAATGTAACCATTCTTACCACATAGAAGGAAACCTTTGAATTAAGTACCTTAAAAATAAAGTCTTGACTCTCCTTAAGTACATATAATGTAAGGCCCAAACATAGCAGCTACATTAGAGTTGAAAGGAGACTGTATAGCTGGCACTGGAAAAATGCTTACTGTCTTGACATAGTAATTCTTAAACATGCAGTGGTTTCTCTCTTAATAATTACTTGTGCTTGTTCCCTTTTAATCTGTTTATAATTGATAAATATAAAAAGGTGAAAAATATATCCATGTAGTTATGAATTTCAGTTGTATGTTATGTGGACTAACGAATTAATGTGTACAACCATGGCAAAAACAGTCTGATTAAAAGTAATTGTAATCTCTCTCTCTGGACATCATTAGTGGTTGACCCAGTGGAGATAACTGTAATTTTATTGAGTTAAGAAGGTTAAAAATTGGAGCGAACTTTTAAGTCATAGCAGTTCACTGCACAACTTATTAACTTATTTAAATTGAAGTAGAGGGGGTAGGATTGATTGCAATTCACTTCAATCTCTGCTGTGCATGTACAATGTATTAGATTTTTACTTCCGAAGAGAGTAGAAAAGATTGAATATTTTAAAACTTTATTTTAAAAAAGAAATTTGATTACTCTGTGATATGTTTAAACAATAAAAAGACTCTGCTCTTAGACTAAAGTGTTTGAATCTTAATTAATTTTGGTAATTGGACTAATGAGATGGATCAGTCCCTTCTTAGGCAATACTCTTATGACACTGTATTTGAAATTTGATTTTAGTGGTTAGTGTTCTGTGGTAAAGTCAGGAAAATAGATGAGTGGAACCCATTACTAGTACCAGTTGTCAAGTTCCTTTTCCTCTCGTGATGATTTGAATCCTAAGTCGGAGGATACTTCACAGGTGCAGAGGTTCCATTACATCAGGAGGGCTTCCTGAAGGATCTAAAACAAAATGTTCTTTTGTAATTAGTTGCTTACCTCACCATTCACAGAGAGATAAATGGTCTCTTGTGAATCCTATCACTTTGTGGCTGTAGTCAGAAATACCAAGAAAGTATTATAGCAAATTGGTTAAGTTTCACGCCTGGCATCAGATCTGTTTAGAATCCTAGCTCTGCTACTTACTAGATGTGAAATCTTGGGCAAATTCCTTCACCTCTCTAAGCATGCTTCCTCCATCTATGGAATTGAGGGTGAGGGGGTAATAGTTTCAACCTTAAAATGTTGTAAAAATCAAATGAAATAAAGCATGTAATACACTAGCAAATTTTTTTCCCAGAGAAAGTGCATGATAAATTAGCCATTAGTGATGTTATTGCTGCTGCTGAAGACAACAGCTGGTAGGGTTAGTCAGGACCCAGCTCCTCCAACTTTGTAATATTAATTGAACTCTTAAAGGAATCATGGACCTCAATTTTGCTTCCTTTCTGTGCCTAGACTAGAGTTAGGTGAATCTTTCTTGATGAACACTTATGTTTGAAGGGAGATGAGTGATCAGGGACTTTGGGATATGAAATTGGAATTGGACTTTGTACTCAGGATATCAAGGAGGGAAGCAGAGGAGAGAAGTGGAAGTGGTGGGGCAAGATGGGTGTTCTTTCTGGAAGGAACTGCTCAGGTCTATGATTAGTTATGCCAAGCCCTGGAGGCTTTTGGAGGCCATCTAGACATAGTATGGTCCAAGTATGGAAGAAGCCATGAACGTTGTTTGGTGATTCTCTCTTGCCTTTGCAAGGTAGTTGTAGTGAGAGAATTCAGACATCTGCTTTTATTTATGAATACTGTGGTTCGCTTAAAATATATGTGGCTCTGGAGCTGTTCACGTCCACGTGTAGCTATTGAGCACTTGCAGTGTGGCTTTGCCACAGTGAAAAGATAATATTTTGAACATATTAGGTTAAATATTTTTCCCCCCCAAAGCCCCAGTAGATAGTTGTATGTCCTAGTTGCATGTCCTTCTAGTTGCTGTATGTGGGACGCGGCCTCAGCATGGCCGCGGAAGTGGTGCGTCGGTGCGCGACCGGGATCCGAACCCTGGCCACCAGCAGCAGAGCGTGCGCACTTAACCGCTAAGCCACAGGGCCGGCCCAGGTTACATATTATTAAAACTAAAAAAATGTGTTAAAACTAATTTCACTTGTTTCTTTTTAAAATGTGGCTACTAGAAAACTTTAAAGTGTATATGTGACTTGCATGCATTACATTTCTGTTCTAGAGAGTTAGAGTTGAAGGGATGGCTGCAGTCCTAATTCAGGAACTCAGGTGCAGAGTGAGTTGAAGTGGAGTGGGTAGGACTTGAGTTACGTATATACACGCATACATACCCACCCTCTAATCCCAGAAGCATCCTCTCTCCCTTCAACAATTTAGTTAACCTAAGTAATAGCTTCATCGATTTTTTTTTTAAAGTAAACTTTTAATTTTAGAACAGGTTTAGATTTACAGAAGAATCACAAAGGTAATACAGAGAGTCTGTATATACCTCATGCCAGTTTCCTCTATTGTTAACATCTTATATTAATGTGATACATTTGTTACAGCTAGTGAACCTGTATTGATACATCATTATTAACTAAGTCCATACTTTATTCAGATTTCCTTAGTTTTTTACCTCATGTCCTTTTACTATTCTAGAATCCAATCCAGGATTTAACATCAAAACATTTAGTAGTCATGACTCCTTAGATTCCTCTTAGCTGTGACAGTTTCTGAGTCTTTTCTTTATTTTTGATTCTATAAAACATCTAACCAGTTTAGAGGAGTACTGGTTAGATGTTTTATAGAATGTTCCTTAATTGGGATTTACCTGACGTTTTTCTCATGATCAGACTGGGGTTATAGGTTTTTGGGAGGAAGACCACAGAGGTAAAGTACCATTTTCATCACATCATGTCAAGACTACATACTGTAACCTCACTTATCACTACTAATGTTACCTCTGATCATCTGGCTGAGGTGGCGTTTGTCAGGTTTCTCCACTGTAAAGTTACTCTTCTCCTCCTTTTCTGTACTCTTCAGAAGGAAATCATATGCATAGCCCACACTTAAGGAGTGGGGGTTGGGGGGTCATGCTCCACCTCCTTGAAGGCTTAGTATCCATGTAAATTATTTGGAATTCTTCTGTATAGGAGGGATTTGTCTATTCTCCACTTATTTATTTAGCCATTTATATCTATGGACT